AGAGTTTATTAAAATCAGATACGTCTAATTCTTGTGGAGTAAATCTGAGGTAACTGGGCCAATTTTTAAAGCAAGGAAATCTTAAAAAACTAAGAAAATGTTTTATTAGTAGTGGCCATAAAACGTCAAATTGGTGCATCTAGTTTTTTTTTATATATAAAACTCAATGTTCCAATTTATCCAGACTTATCCTTTTCTCTACATTCATGCATTAAAAATGTTATATAACATGCAAGGCTTGTAAATTACATGTGGGTGTCCTCCACGGCCCCCCCACCCCCTCGCAGCGCCACTGCCGGAGATGGAACCAAAGTTCTCCATTCCTCCCGTTGCGGCTGTGCTACCTGATAGAAAAACCATTTTCCCCTCAACAACAACTTCAGTAATTTCCCCGCCTAAAAACGCACACAGCAGTGCATGTTGGGAGAAAGAGTCAACTGCAAGGCCTGGACAAAATTACCATCATTATCCATAACCATAAACAAGCCTGATGATGATGATGATGGTTTTAACAATAATAATAGCAATCCAGGCTGAGTGCTTTTTCACATAGCAGTGACAACATTAGTCACACCGGCAGCAGAGAAATGAAAGGCTCGCTGCCTTGAGAGCTCTCCTTTGTTGCCACTGCTGATGGGGCAAATTGGCAGGCAGAGCCGGCAGACGGGGTCCTTAAAGACGGATGTAAAAATAGTGGGCTGTCGATTTGCCCGCTACGCTGGCGCAGCTCCAAGCCAAACAACATAACAGGAGTTGAGGAATAACAGGAAAAGGGAGAAGCCGCGGTGAAAGTATGGCCCGGGTTCCTGTCACTTAGCGCAGGTCACACCGAATGTCACCTTCCTCCGCCTGCAGAACGGCAGAGACAATGTCTTCACCATATGGACCAGCGTGAGAAACGCCTCTAATCTGAGATTACCCAGCATGCCGGTGGGCTGCTCACCCGAACCAGGCCTGCTGCCGCCGCAACGAGTCGCACAAACCGGTGACAGCTACTGCATTCCTGCCATATCAGAATGCGCGCGTGTGTGTGTGTGTGTGTGTGTGTGTGTG